TCATAATGTAAATAGGCCCACCTCCCAACCTAGCGTTCACTTCGATGAGCCTTGGACCCCGACGACCAGTGTACTTGCCTTCGACATGAAAAACGCCATTAGTGAAACCCATAGCACGTACGGAGTCAACCGCCATTTTCTCCAGACTTTCAACCTGATCTTTCGGAAGCATACTGGGCATGACATCCCACGTCTCCATAAAGTAAGGCTCGACAGTAGGACCGTTGTCATGCACTGCTGCATACACACACTTACCACCACACATGATCATATCAACATCCACTTCAGCACCGTCGAGATACTCCTCAAGCATGAAATCACCAAAGTGAACCTTAGGACCATCAGAAGCGCAGTTACCACTGAATTCGCCATCAACAACAACCATGCTCGAAATGAGATCTCGGGTGTCCCCATACGTCATACGAAGGTCTTCCAGATCAGTGACCTTCTTAACACCTTGAGAAGCAGACCCGCTAAGTGGCTTGAGTACAGCCGGAAAGCCCACAACGTTAGCAGCAGCCAGCAGGTCGTCCTCGGACTGTATCAGATAGTTCTCAACACTGGGAAGACCGGCCACCTTGAGAGCTCGTCGAGAGGCGTACTTGTCTCTAGCAATCATAATAGATTGCTCAGAGGGACTATGTAGACCGCCTAGTTCTTCACCGATGCGAGCCATGGTTTGTAAGGCCAACTCGTAAAAGGTACAAATACCATCAACGTGGTCCAGTTCACTTAGTGCGGCCACCGTATCAGCAACCACCCTATCCTGATCGGACGACATGATATCCATAGGAATGAACTTATACACTTTCCCTTCCTCGACAAGTGACTTGCACCAGGCGTCAGGCTCATCCACCAAAACCACGTTCACGCCGAGATCGTAGGCTCTTTCATAAATAAAGCGCTTGGCGGGATAACCCGTACCGAAGAACACTATAGTAGAGCCTCTCAGCAGTCTAAGGCGTAGGTCTTGCGACTGGCCCGTGTTGGCGGACAAAAGCTCCTTAGGAACTTTGGACAACATGGAAAAATCAGCATCAGGAAAAGGAGTAGAGGAAGTCGTCGAATGCACACTGATGTCATCGTAACTATTTTCAGTGGTAGAGGTGGTAGAAGGTGCAGAGCACCCTGACTTGGGCGAAGCAGGAGGCGAGTTCGCAGATACCACAAAGTTTGATACCATTGTTAGAACAAAAACGAAAAACTGGAGGAAATAAATAAACAGAGGAATTTGCAAACTTCGACAGTGTGCAAAACTCAACTACTTATAATTCCATCTAGTCACCGAAATCCCCTCAAGAGCACTCGCACTTGAGAAGGCTGACATTAAGAGGGTACAATAGACGCAATGCCTCCGACGCGTCGACAACGAACGAAGATGCCAAAGCCTTCCCTATGAAAAAGTTGCGAACAGTTTTCTAGCAGACACCGACACTACCGGTGGCTCGAGTCGGGTGGTGGCCTAGCGATGCGACACAGCGCAAGATGCTCCTGAGAAAAATTGAATCAGTTGCATCGTGTAACGTGCTCGTACTATTAGGTGGTCATCTAACTACGCAGTACTACACACATGACGGATTCTATGCTTACGGCTAGCAGCAATACGGCAAAAAAATTGAGGAAATTGAAGGTCGATCAAGACTGGCAAGATCGTTATCGAGTAACTCGATTCGAGTTCACACAAGTCCAGCCCTTCAATGAAAGCCCCTCCGACTCGAGAGTGTGGGATTGGAGAACCGGGGCGCCATTCAGCGAAGGCTGGATTTCCAAGTGTGCGCGAGATTGCCAATCAAGCAACGTTCAACGTTGCCACTAGTCTTAGACTAGTAGTCTTATTGTCTAATCTGTAGATCGGCAATGGGGGAATCCATGACCTGCGAATGCGCCCAAGGTTCTATGTGGCAGGGACCGCATGGTGCGAACTAGGTCTTACTTGTTGCACACCGATACGGGACATCCCCCGGGTCGGGTGGGTGTGGTCGAAGCGCATCAGGCCAGTGGTGTATTGCTGCTCCACATAGAAACAAGGAATTGTTAGGTTAAGTTCCGTGGGATGGCCGCACACATATCTTGCACGCATGTGTGCGTATGCACGTGCAGGTTGTGTGCTCTTCGCGGTGCATTCCAGGTTTGCATAGTCTCTCGTTACTGAGGTGATTTCACTGCCGCAACGCTCCGCTAAGCTCTCAAGAGTTGATAAAGTTACTCTTGTGAGGACTGGTGGAACCCCGTCGCTACATTCCGGGGGTCGCTAATCTTGAAAAGGCTTGATGGTGAATGGAATAATATATTTGGACTATGGCAGGTCTTGCGGCAGGACTCCTGCCGCAGGAGTCCTGGAGTTCTGCCGCAATACGAGGATGTGCGGTTCTTTGAGAACTGAACTCAATAGGGAAATGTGAATTTTATGACATATCAGCATTGCACGTGAACGACTTCGGCATGCAGCATGGCCGTTCTAAGGCATTAGTCGAGATTATCAGCTGAGCTGATTCAGCTCGCTTCTTTGTGCCGCGGCGGCACTGCCGCCTAGATGTACTATGAGGAGGAGATTGCTTGAAACCTTCAAGCACAGTTGTTTGCACAATATTTGCGGTAAGAGAGGGGTCAGGTCGATCATGAAAATCTTTCATCATGGGATCCGGTATTTCGGATGGTGACGAATTTGTATCGGATATAAATTCTACATAGAAGGCTAGTAATATCAGCAAGGCCGAGCTCGACTTCGTCGTTGCAACTTGTGCACAGCAGGGGATCAGTGTTGAAAGTATTCTTATTCCCGTTTATGGAAGTCCAAGCATGGGGTGTATTGTACATGAGGCAAGCTACATGAGACACTAATAATAATATCTAGCGAAGATAGTGACATTATCATTTTCAATACTTTGTATCGAAAATGATCTTTCGAATAGGTCCCAGTAGCAGGAGCGTATGAGGACAATGGGCTAGGTTGAATTATCCAAACATATTTAACCTGAATATGGTTCCGTCCGCGTGCACGGTAACATCGGAAAAGTGGGATGCCGTGAATTCAGGGGCTAAGGGTACTAGACTCCCCCCATAGTACCATCAATCGAATCGATTGAATTGATGCGTGTGTACACCTCCAAGCTGTGCCATCCGTTCGCTGGAGAGAGAAGTTAGGGTTGTTTCGAGGCCGTTTGACCCACATGTAGCTGCGGCATACAGGAGCGAGAACGTCTTGCCACTCCCTGGGGCTCCGCAAGCAATATTTCCTCGAGTTAAAGCAGATCGTACTGCCATAAATCGAGAGGTTGTATTGGGAAAGATAAGCACTTGGGCTTGTTACGCATACGATTCCTCGCTTTGTGTACGCGAACGCCCGAGAACGCCAGCTTGCTGATATTCACTTCCATGTCTAACGCTTGAACCACCATACGCCATGGTGTAGCAACTACACTTTTTTGTGTAACTGTTATACCAACAGGTATCATTTTCCATCCAGTCTTTTCCCGGTAATCGGTGATAATCCTAGAAGTTCACTGTCATCCCCGATTAGAGTTACTGTCAGTTATTTACTGATAGGTTGCAGAAGCTCATCTGATTAACTTCATTCATATTGTTACTGTATCAAATTGATACTATCAATACAAGTGTACACTTAGATTCTGTGAACTATAGAGTAGTGGAGTGTGGGCGGAATTTGAGGTCAATGTCAATAATTGCTGAACTTCGGTGTCTCGAATATCATAGCCATGGCTATTCTGATACAATACAAGTATACACGTAGCTTCTATGAACTATAGAGTAGTGGAGTGTGGACGAAAATTTGAGGTCAATCTCAATAATTGTTGAACGTCGGTGTCTCCAAAATCATATCCATGGCTATTCTGATACAATAGTATTGTACTTTATCATAGTTCGGAGGTCATCAATCATGACTCATCATCAAATTCCACCGTGGAATGGTCACTGGATAGGACCCGCGGGACATCATCTACTTCAACTGTCGAAGTTCGACATAATGTCTAAATTAGGCGTTTTTTATTAACCGCCAAGCAAATTAGAGGTTCACACAATGGAGAAGTGACGTAAGCAAAATGTGCGTACGCTTATGTGAACGCACGTTTTCGCGTCCGCTACTCTACATAATGTTCTGCAATCACAGTTAATGTAATTCAGAATTCTCTATGATGTTCTGGCAGAACGGTTCTGCATCCCTGGGCTTATTCTTCTTCACCCAACCGCGGGAGTTTATTGAGAGCTTCCTGGTTGAGAGCTTCCTGGTTAAGAGCCTTCTGGGTAGGAGCTCCCTGGTTGATAGTTCCCTGGTTCCTGTCCTCCGCCGAAAGTTCCTCAGCAGCATTGCGCCTTCGACGTCGCTCATGAATTCAGTTATGCCTTCATCAGGCGAGAGATTCGTCCAACTCTTGTCTTCGATTCCAGCAAAGGGGACTGAGACTCTCAATTTGAGTATCAATTTGAGACGTGCTAGCTAACGAGCTTCTCTAAAGTTTAAAATAGTGTACGTATATATCGTTTGTGAATTGATCACTGATGAGCAACTCAAATTTCCCGACTGAGACCGATTCCCTTGTTCTTCTGGCAGCAGGTCTACTTGATTCTTATATGGTGTGATAAAGTTTTAGTTTGCTCGTGATTAACTTGTTGTACTTCCAAATCAGCGCCTTTCCTTTAGGCGCAACAATCTACCATTTTGTTTACCTGTCGTTCCTACCCATAGATTAATACCTGGCGAGTCAGATTGTTGTGTTGTCTGGGCGAGCGAGAATTTCAAGATGATGTCCTCCCAGCAACTTGCAGTCAAGTAGCAGAATTTCTCCCGTTACCAGAGGAAATGCGCTTCGTTTCTTTACATATACTAGCTGCCGATCTCACTCCTACTTGCTGCATCTGAGTCGTATTTGTAGTTCCTTGTACTTATTGGTGATGGCCAAGTCGATCCGTTCTAAGGTCAAGAAGCGCTTCAGAACCTGTAAGAGGCAGTTGGTTAGCGCCATCATCGATAAGAAACGACTCCAGGACACCAACCAG